TTTTTGATTTGTGACCAATCATGTTTCATGGGAAGGAAACGCAATCCAACTAACTGAAATAAAACTGAACCAATTAGCAATATATGTGTTAGGTAAATCATTTATTTGTATAACATTAATCACATTACATCAACTGCTTTCTTATTTAAACAATAATGAACCCCCGGAAGCGCTTCGTTCGATCGGGAGAAGGGCCCATGGCAAGATGATGTGAGGCAAAGCAAATATTATCGAGCCCAGATCCATCTCCGAATCCAATATGACGCTGTCGGGGTTCATTATTGTTGCTATAAATCACCGCCATCAGAATGAATCAAATTTACTTAAATTTGGAGGACTTTTGTTGAAATGAATTTACTTGCGATAACGAGGTTATCGCGTGATAATGTAAAAATCTCCGCCTGTAACAAATACATGTGCATTGTTTAAAATATATGTCTCGGAATAAAAATAATCTTAAAAATAATAATATATATTTTCATCATGAGAAGTAACTTGCTAATATGAAATATTTTGATAAAAAACACGCATAAATGCCACTTGGATTGAAATCCAACTTAAAACATTGTAATGAGATAAAAGCCAATAACAAAACAATAACAAACCACTGTAAACTATCTGTATTATAAATATACATACTTTCACTAAACGTTAGTGAATTGTGACCACTGTCAGTTTTAAAATATTTCTAGATTTAAAATAAATAAAACACGGGGATGTTTTACCAATATTAAAATGTCGACATCCGTTTATAAAGTATAATATAAATAAAAAACATTTTACTTATTAATTTGAAAACCCAACAAAATAAACTCTTTAAACAGAAGCGGTGGTATACATTTGTAATAAAAAACAATAAAAAATAAAATAATTTTGTAATTATAATCTATTTTTTAATATAATATAATATGATATAATATAATAAATAAATTAATGGTTCAAATAATTTTTATTGAAATAATAATACTCCCAACACAATATTTGCTCTTCTTCGTCATGCATTTAGAGACATCTTTTGTCTCTATGGGTATGTTTATTGAGTCGAAACGAGTCTTTTGGCTTTCTTTTAAAAGTGTATACTTTTTCGAAGAACTTTCATTAAACCAGTGAATGTCAACTTGCTCCTTATTTTGGTTCTGCGAACGGTCACGTTTGTTTCCGTGTGATCACTACGGATGCAGCATTATGACCCTTATACCGATATTACTACAATGCTCTTCATTGGCTACCTAAGCCTAACACTGAGCTGACTGTCCAATCATAAAATCTGTTGTTTAATGACAGAGGATCATCGTTCCTACTCTTGTCTTATCTGTGCGAAGATGGACATTTTACGTCTAGACAGTCGTTTGTTAGCGAGTTTGTACTAGTCATCACTGCGGGTTATCTGTTCCCGTCGCCTGCATTCTGATCTACTTGATCAGTGCTGAGAACGCGGTTCAATCCATAACTTATAGTCGATGGTAAACTGTTAGCGAACACAGTGCAAAGCACTGGTAGCACGTCACCCACGTTTAGGTAGTCAGCCTCGTGAAATATGCTAATAGCCCTGCTTCGCGGAAACCAGCTCCCCGTGTGGATTTCCTATCCGTTCTCGTTGGTTTGTTTGAGATGATCTTCTGTCTCTTTGCTGCGAATTTCTTGGCCACTTTGTCCCATTTGCCCCGACTGCCCAGTATCTAAAACGAACAAAACATAATACAACTACTTAATCAGTTATGTTCACTTTTAACATGCGGCTACACTGGTTTAGCGCCCTCTATCTACAAAAGATTAAAAATCACGATTTTTAAAATCCATGTATTTCTAGTTGTCTAACTCAGAGTGTAGAAATATAATGGAAATACAATATATATATATAAACTAAGTACGATTTTAATTATCATGCATGATGGAAATGATTACCTGGAGCGGGCCGTCCGTTTCAGTGGGTCGTTTTAATGGCAGCATGACTGCTGGACACATCTCAATAGACTGAGTGACGGGCACCTCACGCGCACTTTTCATGTGCATGAATACCTCGCCAGCAAACGAATCTGCCCATATAGAATTCTGGCTCACAACCGTCATAGATAAAACAGCTCCTCTCGTGTCGAGAACTTCTTTGGGTAATCCTGGACTGTAGACGTACCATAAGAAATTGAAAAAATAACCAGTAACGTATGGATACAAATACAAAGTTTGTATATTTCTAGAAACAGGCGATAGTTGCATAGGATCAACGCATTTAGTATATATAGCACGTGTTAATTCTTTAGTAATTCGCTCACTTTATCACATGGCGGCCATTGCTGAATATTTGCGTTCCAAGCCTCGTTTTCGACTTAGTATTGGCTTCAAATCGCACGTACTGGTATCATTACAGGAGATGCGAAAGCGAGACTTAGAAAAACAAATAATTCAACAATGATGCCCGCCGCATGAGAAAATCATACATACAATCATGCCGTGAATGTTTGTTGAACTTACAATTCGAAAACTTGGTTGAATTTCGGACATAGGTTCTGCTCCACCACTTTTGTCTTCTGTATTTTAGAATGTGTAAATATGGTGTCTGGACACAACTCCAGAATGACAAACGGATCACTCAGTCCTGCAACAACAGAAAAATAGATAAATTAAGTGTCATTCAGTAAAATAATGCTATTTCGTTGTACCATGGGACATTACCTACATGATTGTACACGATAAACCAATGAACATTGTCATGCGATTTATGAACAATTTTGTCAAAAATTATGACTAGGCTTCTATCTTAAATGTTCTTATCACTAAGATAATTTCTATTATCATTGAATCACTTTTTTTTCGAGACGACAGTCAAAATCACTTGCATATTGTCGTCTATCCGGCTTTTTCAAAATAAGGATATCCATAAATACCAAGTAACACTATCTTACCATTTTTGTCCAATCCAGGCAAATCCACGGCATTTACAACTACAGAAAAAGAACAAAACAAATTGTTAAGTTATTGTCTGCATAAAACAAACAAAAACAAACTGGGCGACAAGATAGAATTATCCAAAGAATCTCGATTTGGTTGCTCAGTACTCTTGTGGAATAATTTTATCGTCTGTGCATGGGTTCACCGTGACGTCATGGTATGGTAAGACATGAAGTCGCCGCCAAAGTTGTAGTGGTTCACCAAGACAAGGCCATAATGGCGACTCGGAGGTCACACATAATTTGTCTTGTGCTAGGAATTTTGGGAGTCTGATCTTCCGTCACTTGATTGGGAAGATTATGAACCTAAATCTCACCTTTGACGAAGATAGTAATATTCCCACGTGTTTCTTCCATGTATCCAATCTTGATGGCTAGATGGCCAAAGTACGCGTCCGGTGTCGATACGTTTTCTGCCATTGACTGGTAATATTCGCAGACGAGATCTTCTGAAGACATACTGTTTAGCGTCAACTGATTCTTCACATGGTGGTACTGGTAGTTTTTCACTTTCATTTCGCTCAGACCCAAATCTCGCCCAAAAAATTTCTCTAACGCGCCCAGATGCTGTAAATGAATAGATGCAATCAAAACATAGTCCTATCATACATTGTAATTACATCAGGAAATAATGTTTCTATTGAATGTGAACTTATTTCATTTTATAAAAAGTAATAAAATCCCACCTTGTCCAACGTTTGATAGTAGTCTGGTGGTGCTCCGACCTCCAAATGGTTGCCACTGGTTCTTAACAACGTATTCCATAGTTCATTAACGACTCTCGGGTAGATGGGCGGGCTCAGCGTCTTATATAGCTTCTCCATCTTACCATCCAGATACTCCATGACCGGATCAATGCACTGTGAAACAATAATGCTATGATGATTAGTATTCTTTAAAATGTTAAGTGGTTTTTATTTACAATATGAATTGCATAATGAGATTCTGCTTAAAGGGCGATTGTCGTCGCGCCACGCATGCGCGAGATATATGGGTCTCATATAAACAAAGATGGCGACTTTGACTATTGCGCAGATCAATGAGTACAAACTGGGACGTTTCCAAGCTTTAATTAGGTAATTTTTAGGTGATTGGAAGGTATCGAAGGAGTTACCGGCGGTATTCAGTGCAAGTCGCGCCCAGGTCAATCATACTCGTGATTTTCATTTGAAGAGTGCATTGGATTATGGGAAAATCAATGTTTATCAACACAAATGTCCCACATGCGCAGCGCGACGACCAGCGCGCTTTAAACGGCAATCTCGCAAGGATTCAGATAATTTTGCAAATCGAAAGAAAGACTGTATGGAAGAGAACCCACCACCACTCCTCTGTGAAACAGACATTCCATGCTTTTTGTCATCTCCTCGCTCATTCTTTCAGTCATTTTCCTGACCAGTAAATCGGACTTGTTGAGAACGTCACTGTTAGCGCTCTTCACGAGTCGTTTGAGCGTATGCAGGGTCTTCGTGCCCGCTGATTGGTTGGAATGTTTCGTCACTAGTCGACCCACGGTCTCTTCCCACTTTAGAAGACCCGATAGCTGTTCCAAATACTGTCGAACGTGATCAATATTGTTGAGGGTGATGCACAACTGCAGGAACAAATAACGTGTAAGATATACTGTATTTAAAAAAAATATGATGACAGTAACAACAACTGATAGACTAATAATTGTATATTGATAATGATTATAAACCTACATATCACTGACTATATATCAACTAACATATACCAAAGCTGACTATCAACATACTTATACTTTTATTAACAATTCACTCACCTTCTCTTTGATATCAAATTGTGGACTGTCTTTGTCATAGAAACCATTCTCATGCAAAGTATTATGAAGATTATCAGCGTAGAGTCTAGCGCCATCACAGATCAACTGCGAACGAATTTGAATAATTATGGTTAATAAACATATACATCCTTCCAGATTGGCTACTTGGTAACGGACATGCAGATAACTGAATATACATTTGATGCAAATAGCCTCAGAGACCTCGTTGATAAAGAAATAACCACGCGAAGTCAAAGTTTTTGTTTTAGCCCCTCGCACCATGATGTTCAATTCAACTGATCTATGCAACAACGTTTTGGAATTTTTGAAGTAAATGAGATGACAGGACAGAATTTAACACTATTTGAGGGACCAAAACAAGTCGCGTGACCCTCTCGCTCTGAACGAGATCTCGATGACCACTTGCGTTTGAGGCCTCTTTGTCAAGAACAAGGACTAAAACAAGATTTATAATGCTGGATATGTTAATGAGTTATAGTATAGTATAGTATAGTTTACAGTTGAATGCTTACCTCTGTAATCTTTGTTACTGCAACACATGCGCTGTCAGGATCGTCGTAATCAATATCAATCCATTCTTGCGTAATCTGGAACAAATTATTCAAATTATTCATTAGAAAACGAGAGAGTTCACCAAAGAAGAATATAAAAGCTGCATTAATGTTACGTGTTTGTTACCGCACCTCCTTCGATCGAAACACGCGTGTCCGTTGTCGTTGTACTAGTATCCCACTTACCTTTTGAAAGCATGTAAGTACATCGACTGACGATATGGAGAATTTTACCAGTGAGTCCACCAGCATAACATTAGGGTCCATCTCCAAAGCCTTCCTCACTCTACGGTCGCATTCCCATTTGAACGTCTGCAACCAGAATATCAGGGCACCCTGGAACCAGGTGGAATGGCCACTCAAATCAAGTTCGTCACTGTAATAACTAAAAACCATATTATTCATTAATATTTGGTTCATTCATTTCGTTGATTCAGTGTGTAAATTCGAACAGGAAGCCAATATTTTGAAATATACACACATTACATTGAATTCCAATGGCTCTGGGTGGCATATTTGTAAATACTAACCTCTCTTTTACACATTCAGACATAGATTTGATTATCTTCTTCACAGCTAAGTAACACGCCAACGATGCACTACTGCTTTCTGATATATTGATAGGATATCGTTGATATCGCAGTTGATATTCGTCCAGTTTCTTCATGACAGCCTGGATTTTCGGCGACAGATGACTGTCAATAATTCGACATACCAGTTTATAATAATTCATATCGAACCTGGAATAAATTTGTGTTGATTTAATATAATAATTTTGGTTTATTTGCTATTAGATTCGCCGTTACGTTTCCATACTCGTTCAACATTAAGGTAATATAGTACATCACGTATAATACACTTACAAATATATGCGATCTCAAGATGTGCTATATGGTAACCATGAATACGCACATCGATTAAACATGCTACACCCACCTGCTAAAGAACTCCTCATATTCTGATTAACGGCACAGAGTGTATTGAGCTCTTCGGTTACGTCTTTCAGGCTTTTCATAACAACGACCATTTGGCTTGGTTGCTAAGGTTAAGAATGAGTGTGTCAAAGGTCAATTTTACGCAGAGCACTCGAACTTTGGCATTTGCCGATGGCCTGGTTGATAATAACCCCCACTTTTTGGACTTATTAGTGATTTAAATGTTTGGTGTGATATTTTGCACATTTGCAAATATTTATCTATGATATTTTTGATAATTTTGTCGATCAAATAGATATAATTTCCTGCTGGCTAAAAGTCTTGATCGAAAGTTGTGAATAATTATGGAAAAGATAATGCAGTTTTGTTTTTGTGAAAGGTGATAATTGTCTTTGGTGTTCAAAGCGATTAAAATCTCGGTTTTACTATTAAAATAGTGATCTAACAACCTTTAATTTTTCCTTCACAATATGGGAGTTCTGTCACCGCTACATACAAACTAGGTTCAATGTATTAATCAGAGGTCGATCGAAACAGATGCTTTTCATTAACTCGTTAAATCTTTGTTTGGAGTATCAATTGAATGAAGATAAAGGGGATCTATTTATTACACTAGGGTGGTCAGGTTCGAAATTTCTAATACTTACAAATGTGCCCTTGTCTTCCGATAAGATGTTTTCCAATTTCTCTGATAACCATTTTTTCCCGGTTGTCTTGATGACATCAATCAACTTGTTGATCACTTTACCTTTCAACGCAGCGCCATTACCATACCAGGCTTTTAGGCCAATCAGGCTGTGGATGAGGTCCAAACTGGAAACAAATATTGAAATCTAATAATGTTTTCTTATTCTGACACAATTCCCACACAATTATACACATTCCCAATGGGCCCATTAGAGTCAAATCTCAGACTCATCGGCGAAGTAGTCGTGATCGCGCTGGCTCTATTTTGATGAGATCTATTGTAAATCAATAAAATAAATCTTTCATATATTTTATATATATTGAAAATGAGAGTACACAGATACACAAACGATCAAAGCTGTCGTCGCTAGAGCCTGACTTCCAGGTTCAACAAATTACTACACCGAAAATAGTAACACTAATACATAAATTTGAAGCCAGTCCAATCATAATTATTGCACCCTGCAATTAACTTTAGACGCCTACATTAGAAACATAAATAAAAGGTTGCTTACTGGTACTTTGTATCGATACTATCCAGCTCCGAGTCGTCGGGCTTCATTGGAGGAAATAATTGTGGACCTACATCGTGAATGTCATGTAGAGCGACGTCTATGTACATCGAAATACACTGTTCCAACAGCGCCGCCTATGGGATGAAGAGTCAACAGGAAATACAGCATAAATACTTTTCTGTTCGACATGTAATGTGGCTCGAAAAAAAAAGAAACTATAATCAAAATTTATGTGTGTCTCGTAGTGGATTCGCATCGCCTTATCTTATCAAATAACCAGGCTGATAAGAAAACGAGAATTTATACCGTTCGTGAAAATATGATAGGATACTTCACACTCACCTCATAACGCGAGAGCACTGGTCGATCCGTCATATCGAATGAACCCTGTGGCATTTGCATTGCAAACACGGCCATGTCAACTTGAGAGATAGCATTACGTAAGGTGGTCTCCACCACGCCTCCGTGCATGTGCCACTCCAACAATATGCACAGGTGCCTGTAAATTGAAACAAATGAATAATAATTAAATAATACTAATTACAGCAATAATAGAATAAGTTAATCACCCTAGCAGTGTTAATTAATGATATCCTATGAGATATCGATGATAATACGAATAAGTTCTCTTTGAACTTGGGCTTTCTTGGAATTTTAACCTTCTTACTTTTGAACTGTATACTGTACTATCAATTTTTGTTTGTTTTGTCAATATTTGTTGATGTAAGTATTTGAAAAAGAAATGAAAAATTTATAAAAATATTTATAAAAAAAAAAGTAACTTTACTTACATGAGTGACTGTGAAACTTTACAAACACAGTGTTGTATGGCATATTGGTCTAGAACAATTTGACTCTTTGTTTCAACGATACCATTCCACGGACCTGTGTGGTATTTAATCTACAGAATGAAATAAAATAAAATAAAATAAAATAAAATATAATATAATATAATATAATATAATATAATATAATATAATATAATATAATATAATATAATATAATATAACTTACTGCATTGCTATTTTCTGCATTGTATTTATAAACTTCTTTGGCAAGCATGTAGTATCTTTCCGAGTTGTCAGATGTTTCGCCAATCTCTGCATTCTGTAAACATGGAAACAACATAATAATAATAATAATAATATCAGGGTGAGGGTAAAATGAAGATGTATTGCACACTGACGTCATTATGATTTCACTGTCTCGATATTTAGAACACTGTGTTCGAGGAGGGCGTGGGCAGAGACAATATATTAAGTTCAGTTCAATATTTCTCGATTTTTTGATTGATACTGTTTATTTGCCGGACTACCATAGATGGAAACAATAAAATCAAGAAAAGCGGCGATCAGGCGTTTTCAGGTGTCAAAGTCCGTCGTCTGACCATGCATATATGAGTCACCTGCCGTACATTGAACTGTGCCTGCATGCTAACATCACTTATATACTCTGTCATCGTTCGAGCAATTGAACTTAAAGCGGGAGGGTCGTCACCTGCGCACGCGCGGGAATT